CAGATACCAGGGGTGGACTGTCATCTCTATTGTGTTGAGAAAACCTTTAGTTTAGCCTGTAGGTCATTTGCATGGCCATTCTTTTTCCCTGAATTAAATTTGTGGCCAGATTTAGGGAAAGGAAGGATTTTTCCCTTATTCTGCATTGTTTTACTAACACAGGTAATATCCTTAATCAGTGCAGGCTTCTTCCTCTGGTATGTTTTCCTTTTAGAGGCTTTTGGTCTTTTATAGTAAAAGTCCTATTCTGCAATTGCCTGGTGACAGGACGAGGGGGAATGGGCTAAAGTTGCGCCAGGGGAGTTTTAGGTTAGATGTTAGGAAGAATTTCTTTACTGAAAGGGTTGTTAGACATTGGAACAGGCTGCCCAGGGAGGTGGTTGAGTCACCATCCCTGGAAGTCTTCAAAAGACGTTTAGATGTAGAACTTAGGGATATGGTTTAGTGGGGACTGTTAGTGTTAGGTCAGAGGTTGGACTCGATGATCTTGAGGTCTCTTCCAACCTAGAGATTCTGTGATTCTGTGATTCTGTGATTCAATCAGATACAGAGGCATGTTTTGTGAAGTGAGGGGTATTTTACAGCTTGTGGATGGGGCACTGAAGAATTCTGCATTAATGACAGTATGTCAGCTGCATATTTGGCTGTACACCAGATCTGCATCTCATTAATTTAGTGGAAGTGGCCTTAAATAACTAGTTCTTTGTAGCCTAAGTTAGTTCCCAAGTGTGTGTGTGGAAGGGGAAGAGGGAAAAATAGGAGACAGAAAGATGATATAGGGAAAAGGAAGAGTGGAAGGGAATCTAAGCATAACTCTGTATCATTATGTTTGGATGTTTGCTGTATTGCAGGATATATCATTAGACAAGGTTTACTTCCAAATTAATGCATGGGTTTTACTTTAAGTAGTCAGAACATGGCCTGAATTTTATCCTTCTCTGTATCCCATGCTCTAGGCTGCAGAATATCTTTTACACTGTCTCATCCACTGACTTTAGGAACATTATACGGGGTTGACTTCCAACTGTACTCCTTGATTTTTGTGTTTTTGAGATACTATTTTTTCCTTGTACTACTTATATTGAATTTAGGAGGCGAAGTCAGAAAAATAGATTTTGTTAAGGGGAGCAAGAAAGTAAAATTATATGTTTCAGTGCTGTTCTATTTAAATCCCTTTTAGATACAGATCTAAGATATATCTCAAATATAAAGGGTTTCCATAATAATGAATTATTTAGGAATAGTCAGAACTAGGAAGAAAGAAAGAAAGAAGGAAAGAAAGAAATAGCCCAGACTTCTCTATCTCATTAAACAACAGAAATCAGAGAAAACAATTACAAATTAAGAGTAAAATTTGAGCTGCTGTAATTTGAAAGCTTAGTTACAGGTTCTTTCAAGTTGCTCCTTCACTCCCCTTTAATGTTTTATGATGAAGGTGACCTTGGGAAATTCATCTGTTTTGGATGTAACAATAGTATTTCAAAGATGCTTTAAGAATTTTATTTGCCATCTGTTTATTTCTTTACTTTTGGACTGAGAAGCCAAGATGCTGAACATGATGTACAATCACACAAGCCAGGTAATAAAACAGCTTTATTTTTTTACATTTCTGTTTTAGCTTTGTTTCTGTCTGAGGTACTAGCAGGTCATGAATTCTAAAATCTAATCTTCTGTAAGTGTTGGTAATGAGACAGTGCAGCAGAGAGGCATGGCCTCTTCCCATGAGGTTTTACTTTGTTTATGAATTAAGTCATATGAAGTGTGGAATCTGAGATAAGGCGTGAAATTTTTAGGTGATGCCAGCTGGCATAGCTCCATTAAAATCAATGGAAAGATACACGTTTTCACTACCAGCTTCAGATTCACTCCCAATGGAAATAAAATAGTTAATAGAAATGTTTCAGTCATGAGCCTTTTAGATCAAAATGTTGACATGGCAAGGACAGATGCTGGTTTTCAAAATCTGAGGCAATTTGAGATATTATATCTTGGATTTGAAGCAATCTGTAGGTTTGCTCTCTATCATCCACTATTGCTTTGACCCTGATTTATATTTTAGTTTAGCAGAAAGTAGGTGAATAATGTGAAGTTCCTTGTGACTGTAGTAAATTGTGGGCTGCTGCATAGCATTAGGATGAAACCTGGCTTCTCTTAAAGACTCAGGCAGAGAAGGGTAAAATCAAATCTTTTCCCCTCCATTCCTCATGAGATACAAATTGAATTGCACTACCAAGTCCTTGTCAGCAATATGACTGTTGACTGATGCTCTAACCACTAAGTTTAGCGAAACCATTTAAGATGATAATATGCATGTCACTTTGTCATTTTATTTTAAGGTAAGTGTGGGATTCCATTTTCCAAACTGAATGTGGCAGCAGCAAGTCAAATTCATGCATGAGGATGCACGAATGGGCATGGAAAGAAGGGGATGCAGCTTTGGAGTGTTCTATAACATTTTGAAATTTTCCAAATTCCTACTATGAGCTCAGAAATGTCCCTGCCAAAACAAATTGGCTACAAAGAGACTACAAAGCAGAAAAATAGTTGGTCTATCTGAATAAAAGAGAATCAGAAAGGTCAGTATTTTGGCTTTCATTGCAAGTACACGTGCTTTTCCCTGAACCTGTCTGGTAGCACTGTCATGCTTACATCAGTGTGTATATCTGTCTAGATCAATAGGACATCACTGTATGTATTAGATAAAAACATGTATTGCTTCTCTACTATATCTTCATTTATTTCAGCTGTGATTTGGAGTATCACCTTTCCTTTTAAAATACTGGTATGTGGTGTTCTCTGGAACACCAGTTAAATTTGCTGAGAGGATAAGATGCTGATAATGATGAATATGCATCTGCAAGTCTTCCATAGGCTTCTGCTTCCTCAGGGAGCTGTAAACAGAAATGCCTGGAAATGCTTACTTCTAGAATGCTCATTTTTGAAACTTTTGAAAAGACTGCTGTTGCATGGAGTAAAGAACTTCATGTCTATGTCATTATAGTCATTATTAGTGTGCATAACAACATGGGGAAGTGAAGCAGTATGAATTATTCAATTTCACTTTGTATTTCTTCAATTGTAAATTATCAGAATAGCATAAAATGTCAGAACAGGGAATGAAAGCACATTCTTGTTCATTTAAAGCAATATTTAGGCAACTATGTTTTTCTTTTCATGACTACATATGTGAATGCAGTTCCATATATCTGAGAATAAATTATGTAACATCTTTTAAAATATATAATTAATATACCTTTAGTAGCCTACTTAAGATACATTTATTTATTTATTTATTTTTCTGAGAGTTATGTCTTTTGGAGTTCAGTTTTCTCTACTGATTTTTCACAAAAACTTCTAATTGAATTGTCATGATTTTATTATAATGGCCAATGCAGTGCTGGTTACAGCTGTACTGCAATGAAGTTTTAACACTGATTGGCCAAAAATGAAATAATGTATATGGATTTTATCTTTTAATTGGAAATATTAATAAAAACAGCAGCAACAACAACAATATGCTGCTTTATCTTTCCCCTTCAATATCAGAATAAATATTAGGTAAAGTACAATTTTCTTACTATTTGCTGGAAAAGAAGAGTGGTAACCTAGCCCTTTGTGAATCCTGCTTAAACAATATGCAAATTAGAGTTTTATTTCATGGACAGCTTTGTTTCTTCATTTAAATTCCCCTTGGATCAGTACAGAAGCAATTTTTTTCACTTTGGAGCATTATTGATAAAGGTATCGTTAAGCAAACAATCTCAACTGTTTTCCTTCCAAATGAAAAAGGAAACATTTCTGTGAACTAAGATTTGCCTTCTGGGTAGGCACTTGAAATTCTCCTGGGACCAAGTTACAAATGATCCTCCACCTCTATGCAGTGAAAGTGCATGGAGTTTAAGCTGGTTCAAAATATGCTCCATTAACTTTACTATGTTTTAAACATAATTACAGAATTTTCGTTTTCTGCCTTTCTGTGTAGCTATAATTTTCTCCTATGGCGAGGCCTTTCTGTTGAAGTAATTACTGTCACTAGAAGGCTATCAGTATTATTTTTCCTTATTTCTTAAACATATTGCAATCGTAAGTTCATAAAGTATGCTGGAAATAATACCTCATTAACCCTCAAGTCCAACCTCCTACTCAGAAATCTCAGCTATGAAGTCAGACCAAGCTACTCAGGACTTTACTCTGTCCAGTTTTGAAACCTTGTAAAAATGTACAAGAACAGAATAAGAATGGTAAGAAGTTGTACAAACTTATAAATTCTTGATATTAAAGAAATTATAAATCTACAGTTATTGGATTAAGGATATGTCCTGGTTTCAGTTAGGACAGAGTTAATTTTCCTCCTAGTAACTGGTAGGGTGCTATGCTTTGGATTAGGATGAGAAAAGTGCTGATAACATGCTGATGTTTTAATTGCTGCAGAGCAGTGCTTACACCAAGACAAGGATTCTTCAGCTTCTCTCTCTGTCCTGTCAGCGGGCAGGCTGTGGGCGCAGCAAGAGCTGGGAGGGGGCAGACCCAGAACAGCTGACCCAAATGAGCCAAAGAGGTATTTCATACCATCTGATGTCATGCTAAACAATATATAGGGGTGACTAGCTGGGGTGGGGGGGGCCAGGACTGCTTGGGGTTAGGCTGGGCATCGGGTGGTGAGCATTATGCATCACCTGTTTCGTACACATTAGTATTACTATTCATATGTATTAGTAGTAGTACTATTATCATAATTATTGTTATTATTATTATTATTTTCCTGTCTATTATTATTATTTTCCTGTAATAAACTGTCTTGATCTCAACTCACAGGCTTTACTTTCCTGTTTCTCTCCCCCATCCCAGAGAGTGAGGGGGGAGGGTGAACAAACAGCTGTGTGGTGTTTAGCTGCTGTCCGGGCTAAACCACAACAGGATATTAGAGGGTACATTTTTTCATATTTTCTTTAGTACTTGTTTATGGACCTGTTGTCTTTACATTTGTCTATTTCTTTTTTGAATTTGCTGCCTTCTGAGGCAACAGATTTCAGAAGTCCATTTCTTACTATCTAATAGATTCACTGAGTGCTGGTTGTTTCTGGTTTTGATTTGTTGAATAAGTTGTTCCCCATTCATTCACCTTTGTGATTTTGCAGAACTTCAAGCATACCTCATCATCCTTCTTTCCAGGTGGAAGAATTCTAGCCTTCTTCATTTCTTCCTGTAAGGCATTTACTCCTTCTCTGTTCCATTCTAACTCTGTGATGTTTTGCTGGAAGTGCAGGAGCCAGGACTGTCCACAGTACTCAACATAGCATGGAAGAGCCTGCTTAGCTCCCTTGATGCCTAAATTCTGCCAGAGATACATGTGTATAGTATAGCTTTAAAATGATGGTACTGGAACTGAAAGGAGCTGTAAGGTTTTGGTATAATGAAAAAACAAAACAAACAAACAAACAAAAAAAACACACAACCAACCAACCAAACAAAAAATAATAAACCACCTGCTGGTGGTTGTTGAAACTAGCAGCAGGCATGGTTTGTTGGACACTTATGATGGCTGTATAAAATCACAGTGAGGTGAACAAGGAATTACCTTACCAAGCAACTCATGAGATGCCTAGACTGGATGTAATTATGATAAGCACAGTCCATAGCAAATGCTTGACTGAAGATCTTTTTAAGATCCTGGAGGATACCTGAAGACAGACCTGACTGCTGATGGGAGGAAAGAGAAGAGCCAGCTCAGAGCACTGAGCCTGAGGCAGAGCTGTGTGCATGGAGCTAGGTCTGCATGGGTAAGAGTGTTCCACAGGCTGCAAAGACAGTTCTCCAGCATCATGAGCATGTGGACCCTCTCTCAGACACTCATAGGGCAGTACGTGGAGCATGACTTCTCTGCATGGTGTGGCTGCTGGCCAGGAAAGTGGCTGTTTGCTGTAGGAATGGACTAGCCAGTGTGTGTGTAGTGAAGGAGCCATTGTGCCTTGTGCACTGCTTTTGTGTAATGGAAGCATTAGAAGTAAGAGTACCAATGCCAACTCCAGGATATTGTTTTATATTTTCAGGGTAGCATAGTTCTTTTTGTTGGTTGTCACCCCATTCAATTGCCAGTCTCAGTGTAAACTTATTTATTAGTTCCTAAGCTCTTGCTGCCCTGCTCTAATGTGCAGAAATTCACCAAGCTTCTCTGCCTTATGAACTCATGGCCTTATGAACTCATTTACACTTGTTTCATCACATGTTACTTCATTCACTAGCTAATTTATTTCTGTATATTTTTACAAAAAAAAATTATTAGCTTGAGTGTACTTTGTAAGGAGTTTTTCAAGTTCTTATTTTCATCCTCTTAATATCTCTCTTATGCCTGGTTTATGAAGTTTTGTGGCCTTTCCTGATTTCTGTACTTGTATAAGCTTTACATTCTTTTCTACTACTAAGCTTTATTTTAGGGATATTTATTTTAGAAATATCACATGCTGAACAGTAAAACTGGGGGAGACAGCTGGGAGAACTGCCATTGTTGGGAGATGGCTACTCATTGGTCAGTAGTGAGCAATTGGGTTGTGCAGCACTTTTTATTATTATTGTTGTTGTTTTTTTGTTGTTTGTTTTTCTAATTTTATTCCTTTTCTTATTAAACTGTCATATTAAATTTGATATCTGAGAAACATTATTTTTTTTAAAGAAATATGTTAGTAGCCATAAAAGAAATATGAAGAGAACTTCTGGTGTCAACAAGTCTGAAGTCTGCATCCGTCCTGAGCAAGCTTACCATTACACTTATGTCTTCCAGTCAGACGTTGGCAATTAAAGAGCAGAGTCCTTGCTTTCAAATTCTGCTAAGATTTTCTTCAAATTAGGTAAGACATGATTCAGTGTACATTAGTACCAATTTACCAAATGTTTAGTTAAGCTATTTACTTATAAATGTTCCTTCTAGGTAAACCTTTAGAGATTCAGTATCTCATTTTCTTTTCAGTCCTGGCAGACAGGAATCTACTCATGCATAATAACTATCAGTTTCATGAAGCTAATGAATTCACACTGCTTGTAAATAACAATTGTGTATCAAATTTGAAAATATGCAGTAGAAGATTAATAACTTGTAAAAGCACTGGCGATCTTGAAAGAGAAAAATAATTCAGTTTTATCAGCAACACTTTCAAGTGATTGTTGTATTCTACTCCTTTCTGATGAGAAAGGAAATAGTAAACTCCCTGCCTGAGACAGGTAGGTGTTCTGATAAATTCATAGATTACAATAACAAAGTGAGGAAACAGTCCATTCCTCTAGATTAATCTCTGTTTTTTAGCTTCCTCTCTGTTCCTGCATTTACATAATGTGTTTATCACTATCACTAGTTATTAGTTCTGTGTGCTGGATACTTTTAATGCAAAGTTTGAGGCAATAAATGTGAGCAATGCCATTTTCGTAAAAATTCTGAGAAGTGTGTCAAGTGCATAGAATTTTAACTGAAATTCGCAATGTCTATATTAGATCTTAAAATTAATTCAGAAGCAGTTTCAACACATTTTGGCATTATTGAATTGGGTGCAAAGGTAACCTTCATGCCAACCTTCTGTTAGCTTGCTTTTGGCACCATCTCAATAAACTATGCTAGTCTTTAAGTATATCCAAACTGCCGTTACACCAGATAGAAGTTAGTAAGAATGAAGTAGTGCTCTGGAATGCCTCTGCCACCAATTCTTCACTTCCATTTGCACAAAAGAGAATGTTTTAGTGATATCTGTGTCATCAATACATCATTAAGGGATCCCCTGCTAATCCAGAAAAGGTTTATAACACCTTTACACATTATTACAGTGCAGGATATCAGGGTAAAGATCATCATGTTTTTGAAAACAGTGATTAGGCACTTTAAAATTGTCAATGGATATATTTTTTAGCCTTTTTCTTATTTTCTGTCAAATAATAAAATAATTCAATTACTGTATCATAATATTTTGTAATAAATATATCTACTACTTTCTACCAATAAGTATTTTATGAGAAAAACTTATATAATTAGCTCTATTGCCACATGGTTAGAAGCAGGGAAAAATTCTAGTTCGGAATGTTTAATTTGACTCCTAATCAATACATAAACTACTTTGTGCCCCACAACTCCAGCAAAAGTAACTGTACTCAGTAAGCTTCCTGCAACAGGAAGAAAATCCTCATTTGGAAATACACTCTAATCGTATAAAAACATGGATACCTTTAAACGAAAAAACAAATGTAATAAGAATAATGTAATATATATATATATATGTATATGGTAATGATAGATCACATATATGCACAATAGAAATTTCTCTTTGTCCAAAAAGCTGTCAGTATTTCATGGAACACACCTGCTCTAAATTGATGATAGGATTTGATGGGCATCAGTCCCCTGGTTGACCAAACTTTCCTCACTGTCTCAGCAAATGACTATGTAGAGTATATGGATCTTCTTAACAAGCTTTTGTTAGTGCCCAGAGTGCCTTCTGCTTTCTTTGGGCTTGCTAGCATAATTCCTTAAATTGGCAGTTAATAAAGTACTGATTAGAAAGACAACCATACAGTGAACCCAATTGTGCTGTGTATTCCTTTATTCATGATAAATTTATTAATCTGCACCTCACCGAACTCATGATTGAATTCAGAGTAGTAATACCTTTCCTCGGATCCAAAGGAATATTAGAACACTAGAACAATCATTGATTGAACTATATTAGTCAAAGTTAAAAACAAAGTTGTTCACAGAGACTTTTCAATTAAAATAAACAAAAACTTTTTTTTTCTTTTTTTTTTGGTTTGAACTTCTGGGATTGCTGGAAAAAAACAACTTGCTGGGATTGCTTTAAAAAAGAAAAAAAGAGAGAATAGCATGTCTAGTAATTATTATCACTTATATTATTGCTGCCAATGTGCTTGAATAGATTTCTTTTGAAAGCATCCTTCATTCAGTTGCTTTAGTTTGTTGCTTTTGATGATATTTAGAGTGAAGACGATGAGAAAGAAACAAAAATTGAAATCAAGAAAATGAGTATCATGCCTGATACTGTTTAGAGACATAGCTTTGGGCTTGGCTAGATTTCAGCAATGATTTTGCTATAGAAATAAGTATTTGAAAATCATATGCTTGCATACACAAAGTCCCTAACGATGATTATCATAAATGTAGTTTACGTACTGGTGCTGAGTCAGTTCCTTGGAAAAAGAGACAGAATTGTCTCATTTTTGGCTACTTGTATGTTCATGTGGTGCTAGTGGCAATTCTGTGTGGGTTGGAACAATCCTGAATATCTTGTATGTAATTCTCCATACTCTTGACTAACTTTATGATCTGAGTAAGGGCAACAGGTCTCTCTCTTTTGAGCATATGAGCCAAAATATAAATGAAAAGTTGGTCTGTGAAATTACATTCTTCTCTCTCAGTAGCCAGAAATGTGAAATATTCAAATTCATATAATCATTATGTGTAATTTTAAATACAAAAAAGCAGATGGTTCAGAACAAAAGCTTCTTTTGTTTGCTGTTGTCTTGCTGAAACAAGAATGGCTACTAATATTACTGGAGGAAATTTTTAGCTGTGAAACTTGATTCCTTTATTTCTTTACTTCTCTCTGAAATTTGAAAAATATTTCAAAAGTTAAGCAGTTTTTTTTAACGTTTTCTTATATCCCAGCCAGCAGATGTGTACTTAGAGTCTATTACTAACAAGTTTTTACCTTTCCAGGGTTGAGATAACATTATTTTTAGAAAAGTGGCTGCCATTAATAAATGATTCAAAAATAATAATATAATTTTAAAATTTCTGAAGAGTGGATGTACTCTGTTGATAGATGAAACTACCTGTAATCTTTAAATTAAGAGAAAATTAATAGAAAACTATTTCACTTGCTTTTCATGTTGAAGTCTGATATTCAGTATAAGTGTTAATATGAAAATTTAACACCTGGAGACATCTATTTATAGAAAGGCCCAGGTTCAGGTAACTTTTGTTCTAAGAAAGAACGTAACCTTGCAGCCATAGCTGAACAGCTACCCATTGAAGTAAGAAAGTTTTATTCTTGCAGAATGAGAGATACTGTTGAAGACCATATAATCTAGTAGAAACTCTCTCTTGTGTACTGTTAGGTATTTAAATAAAAATACATAGTCTCATCTAAGGACTTCTGAAATTTTACTTTCATCAGATTCCTCCCCTGCCATCAGATGATGACTGGTAAATGTAGAGTCCTTTTTCCACATAATAAAGAACCGTGGATTGGTGTCCTTTACATGCTGCGAAAAGGCCTTGTAGAAGGTAAGTAGTATGGCAATTTTTTTTAATATATATATTTTTCTGTGAAGGAAATGGAAAAGAATGAAGCTAATTAGATGGTAATGACCACACTTAGGACTTAGAGTGCTTTGTGCTTTACAGAATATTACTATCACCATTTCATAATTAGGGAAAAGAGTGGAGTGATTTACTGGAGGTTATTCTGAAAGTTAGTGATACTCTCACAAAGAGAATCCAAGCTGTGCAGTCTCTATAGATCACACTGAGTAAGTGAAAAGCAATGTGAGTCTAGAATGTCTCATTATTTCTGTTTTTCATTGGGCCATATGTGTGCTATTAGAAATACTATATACAAATCTGATGCACTTCCCAGTGGAGTTTAAAATCTTAAATGGGCAACATGAAGAGAAGACGGTAAAGCAACAGAAAGCAATCAGTCTATTAGATTTTTTGTCAGTTCCCCAGACAGTTACTTAGAAAGAGTAGGACATATATAGACATACGAATCTCCCTTTCCTAAGAGGGCTTCAAACAGGAGAGTGCTAATATAAACAACAAGTAGATAGTCTAATTTTACTTGCTTTCTGCTATCACTTTCTTGAGAAAAGAACTAGGTTTAACAGATCAGTTGAAAGCATCATCTCTCAGGGGAGAGAGAAGTTGAGTCAACATGAAGGAAGCAGTGAAAAAAAAAAATGGATGAAAGCAAGTAAATAGATATATTTATAAATCTTATATAAATAAGAAAGTGAAAACAGGAAGTTTCACTGGGAGGCAGTGTGATATGTTTTTTCCTTCTCTTGAGATAGAAAAGGACAAGAGAATGCTACCATATTTCTGGGAATGTCTGTGAGTTTATCTTTGTGTTTGACAGCCAAATCAATACAATCTTTTTTATTACACTAAATTAAAATACTCATTGAGAAACACAGACCATTGCTGTGTGAGATCAGTCCTCAGGAGTGCAGCAAAGACTGTGAACGTGTAGTAATGTTTGACCATGTTAGACATTCTGCAGCTTGCACAGAACAGGAAACTCACCTACTCTGGAAACCAGTGCTGAATACAGTGAACAGGTAGTTCAGTCATTCCATAGGGTTTTTGAACAAACTAACACCAGGAGGAAGAATGCCATGGATTCTCATGGGGGTCAAGACCTGTTCTTAAAAGTTTGTCTCCTTCATTCCTGAAGATGGCTGTCTAGACTGTCTAAGCAAGACAGGAGAGGACTTTTGTCTTTCCAGCAGGATGAGATGATGAGACTAAGAAAACCTTGGATAATGCCTTGACTAAATTCGGGAGAATCATAGAATGGTTTGGATTGGAAGGGACTTTAAAGGTCATATTATTCCAAATCCCCTGCCATGGGCACGGACACCTTCCAGTAGAGAAACATCTAGTATGAGGAAAAGAAAGGGGCATAAAACAGATTGTAAAGCAAAGGCTGGGTCACTTGCTCTCATACCTGATATGTTTATCCTCTAGATCTGTTTGCAATTCCTGAAATCACTGAACATCTACATGGATGTGCTAATCCTGAGAGTACCTAAGAGTATTGACAAGACTTACCACATGAGCAGCTGTCTTTGATGAGAACTATTTTTATAAGAACTCTAGAACCTACCCCCCCCCCATCCCCAGCTCAAACAGCTTTGAATGTAATTCAGGGCTGCTAACTTTGTTTTCCTGCTTCAGAAGGTCTGACGTACAGGGCTACACAGAGGGTTTGGATGTAGTGGGTCCATGAATATCAGTAGGATAGTTCTATCCAAAACTCATGGGGGTTCAGCACTATTAATACTCTGATGTATTAATACAGGAGCTCTACTGTAGGAGAACTAGTGGTGCTTCAGAGAGATGCATTAAGGCAGCAGGGAGCATTGTAAGGGAGGTTATTTAGTATGTGGTATTCTGATCCAAAATTAAGGTTTCTTGTCTAGCTGCAGATTGCTACACAACAAGCTGTGAACACTGGTGTCTGCTCACATATGACTGCTTGTGCTGGTTTGTACTCATTGGCTGTAAAGCTGGTATAAAGAGCGGATAGGCCAAACAGATCCAAGGTAAAGAATAGCTGTTAAGGTACAAGATGTTGCCATAGATATATCACTGTCTGGGTGAGGATGCTAGACGTGTGTGTGTAGGCATACGTCATTTGGGGCTCTTCTACATATGGTTTCTGGAAGCTCCAGAGTTCTTGATAATGTGAATCTGAGGGCTTGGCAATGGTGTTGGATAAGGATCCTATGTGTGCAGGAACATATGTATGGGACAGTTTTGTAGCTGTGTCTGCTAGCCATTCTGATGGCTTGCAGCTAAGAATTTATGTGACCATATGAAATCTAACAGAATACATTCATGATAGAGAAGGGATTGTTCTTACCAGATGTGGGTGATGAAACACCATAGTCTGCTTAAAATATATAAGGCTAGTGTTATGGCCCATGGCTGTGTCACAGAGAGACAACACATGCACCAGGATGTGGGATTTCTGGAAATATTTCCAAAAAAGTGAGTCTCTTTCATAGCTTTTTACATATAATGGTAGACTAATATGGAATCAGGTGGTGATGCTACTGGGGCTGTGGCAACAGCAAAGACAAACATCTATGGAACTTCTCAGTAATGACTGAAATGATGAAATAAAGTAGAAGTTCAGTCTTTTGGGATTAAATGTATTAGAGTTATTGAGTTATTAATAATCTGTCTTTGGTAGTTGAGAGATCACCTTTCATTTATGTTAAAAGGTTCATTATATACTGTACACAAAAATATGATGGTATGGACTTGTAAAGTGTAAGGGTTTGAAAGAAAATAACACATAAAAGAGTCATTCTAAAATATATATTTCTGTAATTTATTTAAAGAAAAACTATTCTGGATAGAGGAGTGGGGGGAAAAATGAGTACTAAAATGAGAGTTAACTGAAGTTATACAACGGACTGATTTTTATGGCTTAGTAATAAACCTTTTAAAGTTTCTACTGCAAGTGCTGACACTATCTTAAACACCGTAAAAAGTCCTGTACTGGTACCAGATTTCTGGGATTTCTTTATGTATTTTTTAAATACTTAAGCCTTTGGAAAAGAAATAGTATAGATTATATTAAGTGCTACAGTTGAAGAATGGTAGTTTTTTCTTGTAGTATAATGTGTCAATACTAAAAATTATTAACTTACTAGCAACATATTGTAAATAACCACAATAAAAAACTTGACCTTCTGTAGTTCAGCTAAAATCTTCAAAGTGAATTATGCTTATTTAAAGATTTTCTAAAGTAGCTTTACTTATGCATTTACTTGAAATAATTCTGCTATAGATTTTTTCTCCTCTTTATGTTAACAGTCTTCAATCACAAGAAATGATGTCTTGTTCAGAAATGAAATATCTGCAAATGCCACTTTTGTTACAGAGATGAGAGCTTTTCTTACACAGATGTGTGCTTTTGTTTAACCATAATCATCATATTCATGCACCTAATTTGTAATTTACTTACATTTGTAAATTCAAAAAATTGATTTTGGTCTTACATACACAGAAACACAAATTAATTGCCATGAAACTGATCCGATCTTTTCCAATTTAAAAAAAAAAATCCTTAGTAAGTAAGGATATTTTGCTTTTCACTGTTCACCAAAAAATAATAATAAAATAAAATAAAATAAATCATCTACTGCCATTTATTTATTTGTTAAATTATTACTCTAATAAACAGTCTATTATGGACAAGAAAATATTTGTTAAGTTTAATCTTGTACTCTTGCAAAGAGTTAAGCTTGAGAACTGCAGCAGGAGCTCCAATCAGATGATTCACCACAGCCTTAAGCCTTTCTAAAGTAGTGTGGGAATATGTGTAGAATCAAAGAACTACTATCATCACCCTTTCCATTCCTTCCATGGTAACAATAGATTATACCCAGACAGGGATAAGCATATAACAATTTTTGAAAAGCAAGGTATCTCCTTTTAGAGAAAGAACTAGAACCCAGTATCCAATGCAGTAAGTACACACTGAAAAAGCTGAAGGTAAGCGCACTGTTATTCCTCAAAATTCCCTATTTGTATTCTTCTCCAAACCCTGACATCATAAAGTGGGATAGAAAAGCTTACTTTAAGCTACTTTCTTGTGGCCACTTAAGTAGTGTGCAGACTATCTGATTTTCAGGGGATTAGAACTCCTGCTACAAATATTGGAGGCTGTGCAATTTCAAATTTGGCAGTATCAATTCCAGACTCTAAGTACTGTCAGCCTTCACAACCAAGGCTGTTAAAAGTCAGATATTGTATGACATCACAGCCATGTTTGTGCTAGACTGAACATAAGCAATAATTTAAGAAACATACCCTTTTTATGCTGGATATAAAGGATGAAAATTCTTTGAGCCAAATGTTCATGTGACACAGTATCTAAAAGATGGAAAAAGAATGTTTGATAAAAACTAAGACACACCTTTTACTGCTAATAAGCTTTGCTTTATTAAGCAATAGGCTAAAACAACAAGAAACAGTCTTAAAGTAGTGGAAAAAATAAGATTTGTCATGAGAATTCTTTGCTCTTGTTGTTACATTTGAACTAGTGACCTGTTTGTAAATGGCTTCCCTGGAACTGCAGGAGGAAAATACAGGGTGAGCAAGGGAATTCTTAAATACAGTGTCGAAGTTTGAATATATTTTATGGTCTTTAATTATCTCTAACTGCCTGCTAACACTAGAAGAGATGTTTGTAAACATTTGTTTTCCCACAATTCACTTGTGAAACAAATGTTTATTCCTTCTGAGAATTTCCACATGCATGAAAAATTGTACTTCATTTGAATTTCTTGATTTTTTTTTCCCAACAGCTGATCCCACAAATCATATGAAAAGACATCTAACATGGTTGCAAAGACCTCCACGATGCATTTTATTATTTTTCTGATTTTGTTTAGATAAAATTGAATAAAAAAAAAATAAATAAATAAAATGTTTAGTCTTGGTGTTAAATATCTAATCTAGATTCATGTTTGTATTTCCAAATCAGGTATATGAACATGAATTTCAAATTGAAGTATCAGTGAAAATTTCATTTTTTAAGGTACATTATATTTTGGACTTATGTGGTTACCTCGGAGAACAAAGAGATTTGGTGGGTAATTAGGTGAAGGACAGACACAAATAATTTTGATTTTAGCTCCTGGAACATTATCTTATTTTGCAGGATATATTGAAGGTTTCTAGAGATATAGCTATGAAGAGAATCAAGCAACCCCCAAATCTACTACTGCATCTAAGGACTGAACTAAGATTAGTAGCACTCCCAAAAAACAGTAGCCATAAATTGAAGAACACACATCCAACTAGCTTGTAACAAAAAACAATGCAGTAAGGATTCACTCTGCTGTTCAAAATAGATTGTTATGTATCAATCAACCCATATTTGGTCCCTGTTATCTTAATATCCTTTTTAAGAGGACTGGTGCAATGTTTCATAGCATTGTGTAGAGAAGATTGATGTATGGTTATAAAGTTGACTGAGGAAATAACATCTCTTGAATTTATTTAATTAATTAATTAATTCATTTTTTCCAGAGGAAAGTCACATCAGGTTGGCCAATCTGTCTACATGCAGTCTCAGCTTGGTTAAGAAGTAAACTAGGTTATAATGAGAAACAGGCCACACTTTGTGTTATAGTTTTAATAAATACAAAATATAATTCACCATTTAGAACAGTTCATTATCATATGTGATGTCCTTTTTGAAGTATCTGGGTGATAAAGGATGAGGACTTTATTTTTTATATTTTCTGTAAAATTGCAATGTATTTTATTCTTGCAGCTCAGATGATAATTCTGGGTCACCACTGAACTCTTCCTTCAGGCAGAATTCCCATGAGTACTTTATTTCTTGTAGTATTAAGCAAGCAGGAGCCAAGTGAAGCTTAAATCTGTAGGATGTCAAAATGGGAAACTAGATTAACTTTCAAATGCAGATGTAAGAGAGAATAGAGTCACATATTTTAAAAATTCAAGAGTATCACATTCGTTATGCAAAGATATACATATGATTTATCTTAGAACAGTAGCTAGCCATATCAAAGGATCTTTTCAAGTTAGACTCTTGCAAGGTGTTAAAAAGTACCTGGTATCACTGAAGTCTGGTTTAGGATTTTGAATGCTGATAGTACAGGAGTTGAGGACTAGTTTTCTTTGAGATTTTTACAAGGATAAGACCCATATCTTCTGAGGAATAGCTTTTCTTGTCAGTATTCATTCTCTTTTTATTCTATTGTCCAAATGTTTTATCTCTTCATGGAAGCTTTAATTTGATCACATTAGTGTTCTACTGTTCTCTCACAATAAATGGAGTTAGTTAGTAGCTGTTTTACAGTTTGGTGTAATTCAGACAATTATATTCTGTACATTGTGGGTATTAGTAGAAAGCCGAGAGCAACGTGGCTCAGGGCAATGGAAAGCATAACACACTGGGGAATTTATACCACTTCTAGCTAGCAAAGAAAGATTTGCTCTCAGGTTTGTTTCATAGGAAAAAGAGTAAAATAGCACATTTAGCTTACAGTTAAATGGTTTCAGCAAGTTTAGAAAAATGAAGACACTTCATTTACCTTGTCACTGAAAACTGGAAAATCAACTGAAGGCTAATTTCATTCTGAAACACATATTTTGGATCATAGTGAAACCATGCTGCTAATATTAGGCAAGCTGGCAAATTAACAGAAACTCCTTGTTTCATTATTGTTTCTTTTGTATTCTATTGATAGAATTTAAAGTGTTGGAAATGAGCCAGTGTTAAGGTCTAATTTCCATTTAGTGGTATAATGAAGTAATAAACACAATTTGCTTCAGATTAAAAGTTTTTCCCCTCCTAACTAAAAGCATTTTAATACCTTTTTGTAGCTTCAATGTTTATACAAAATAGCTGATAGCTGCACAAAAAGACAAATCTAGCACTTGCTACTTCCAGAAGCAGCTAATCTTCAGTGTTCAGAGTTTTTATAGTATGTAGCTAGGCAAAGCAAAATGCTATATTAAGCTCAGTTATGAATGTTAGACTGGATTTGTCCTGTGATCAAAATTTAAACCAATATAATGAGGGCATTTCCCACAACCCCAGCACTCAGCTCTGTTGTTTCCCTTACTAATCCCACAGTAGCACTTGCAGGGTTTGCTGCACAGTAATGCTTAACACCAGGTATTACATAATACCCATCCAATAGTAGGAAGAAATCTATGTTTAATGAAGGAAGTGCAGAACAAATAGGAGGAGGCTTTTCTGCTTAATTCTTAAAAGTACTTAAAAATCCTCCACCCAGTGATCTTGTGTGAGCAGTATTCATATGACGGAGTAAACATTTGTGTATGATAACTTGGTAGTGTCTTTGAACGACACCTCATGGAAAAGAAAGAAATAGGTCTTGATAGGGTTTGAAGATCAATTAATAATTCTGTACATAATACTTCTTTTGAGGTTATTTTAGATTCAAGATCTTTAATTCTAAATTTCAAACTTTTAAGAAAGGAAACCTTGAAAATGTTTTAAATCTTTGCAAATTTAAAGTGTATAAACCTGGATCTTTTCAGTTGCTAAATTGTTTTATCTAAACATTTTCAACAGCAAATTCTAAAGCAGTAAGTAAATCTGTAGGCCAAACTCAGCCCTTAGCTGGATGCAGGAACCACTTAAAATTTTAGGGCTAGTGCAACAAGGTTCATATCTATATTCCTTAAAGTGTTATGGTGTATTACAACAATATTCTGATGACTGTTTTTTTTTTTGTTTGTTTGTTTGGTGGTGTTTTTAAAAATTTTTTAATATTCTATGTATTTAATATTTATGTGTATATCACCACACCATTTCACTGAGCTCATAGCTGGTACAGAATTAAGATTTTTGGCTGACAAATGAGAGTTCTGTACTTCTGGAAAAGCTGGATACCCATTCCTGGCCATGCTTAAGTTTCCTCAGTCCACTGAAGCTGTGGATTAATGGTTTATCTATGAGCTATGGTATCTAAGATACATTAAAGTGTAATTTTCTTCTACTCTTTCTGAGTTGTAAGCTTTGAACGACCTTGCCTTTGTCTATAAGCAGAATGGAAACTAATGTTGTGACTCTGAAAGTTTCCTGAAATGTTTTTTTTTTTTTTTTTTTTTTTTTCCCCTCTTAATTCAAGGCAAGAAGCTGCTGGAGGTGAGCCAATGTAGTAATCCAGAAGAATTCAACTGTTATGCGAAAAAGGTAGACTAAACCAGAGGTAAACACTGACAATTGTTAGAAAAGGTGTCCAAGTTAGTTGTATTTTCAGCATCAAGATCATTCTGCTAATGCTATCACCCAGCAGGCAAGAGAGAAAGCAGGCATGGATAGTGGACAGGAATGGGTTGATTTTTTCCAAGTTTGCTTGTGAAATACAGGTCAGAAACAGTGCAAAGTGATAAAGTATGCCTTGGTAGAATTGTCCAACAACATTTACCCTGCTAAAAATCATATTGATGTTAATTCATATTTTACTAATGGATTTGAAGGAAACTTGTACCCAGTGTACTCAAGTTAGGCTTTATTTTATTTTGTTATTATATGCTGTTTCAGTCATATTTATACAGCCACTTAGGAGCTGTCTGAACAAATCACCGATGAGGAGAACAGGGATAGAGGAGTTCTTGTTATCATCTATGACTGATGATGATGAGAATGATGGGCAGCTGTATACACTGGATTAATCAATCTGATTTGTAGACTGGTAGCACAAGGACACAATATGGCTACATGCCACTTTACCAAATTTCTTTGAGTCATGCTCTTACTTTTTCTGTCATCCTTGAAGAAGCGTAAGTAAATAGTATATTAGCTACTTGTGCAGCTCCAGTATATACATAGTATAAAATATTCAATGCCACCTTCTACTAGAAATTAATAGGGTTTTATTTATGTGTATGCATACATGTGCATGCAGAGGGAGAGGACAGGCTTATCATCAAGAATTTTTCTTTTAAAAAGAACAATCCTGGTAAGTAATTTATCATACTTGCTTGACAGTTATGCCTCTACAGACTGTGAAGTGCTCCCAAGCTCAGGTTTTGTCATGCTCCTCAAATTATATCCCCTTCTATTTCCTAAAAATCCTGTGGGTTTGCTCACTACACACTGCAAAAAGCTTTGTTAAAAATCAAGCAGAAAATAATAATATATATCTTGTCTGTGGCTTTGGATTAACCTCCCTAGGAATACTTGGCCAAGGGGTCTTGAGAAATTGACAAATAATGAATGATGATAAGCTTTTTATTCAAGATGTATCCATTTGGGCTTAGAAGCTGTAGATGATGTCCCTTATCTCATCATCAACTTGTTTAGCAACAACCAAGTACTGAAATGCGACAAAATTGTGAAATGTGTCCTGTGAATTTAAACACTTCAGATTTCCATATAACTATCATAATTAAAGGGATTATCCCCTGCTAGTGAAGTGTACTGTATGTTTCTTTGAGTATTAGTTGTATCTTTCTGAAATGATGGACAATAGAGCTAAGTGGAAAGCACAGATCTTTACAGTTAAGAAGACTGTTTTAGATTGTTCTTTCTCTTTCTCTCTCTCTGTCTGTTTCTGTCTCTCTCTCTTTCTCTCATTTAATAAAAACACAATGTCTTCCTCCATGGGGTTCCCAAATATAGTAGCAACTGTGGATGTGGAATTTTTTAGCTTACTGGAAATACCTCTGGTGAATTACAATGGCCTGTGCCCTAAACTGCAGGGCCACTAGGTTGCCTGAGAGCATCAAGAACCAATTAGCCCAGGAAATGGACATCTAAAACAAGCTGGCACCAAAGGCTTGCTTTGGATATTTCTCACTAAGACACTGACCAGCTGACTTGTTTGGAAATAACTTCTAAAGGGTACTACTCAGTCATGAACTCCACAATCCAGTTAATTATTACTTGTCAGAAGAACTTTACCCTGGATGCTTAATGTCTAGTTATACTGACCTTTACAGTAACGCTTGCAGCTGAGATAACTACTTAATAGCACCCTGTCTCCTGAATGCTGGCTTTCAGAAATAGGCACAGCAGGCTTCTGATACACTTTTGCTTTTGTTCAAGACTGTCACCCTCTCTGTCCTGCTTTTATTCAGAACCTTTCATCTAGCCACAGTGCAGATACAGCTATGGCTCTTTTCATGTTGCCTGTGTCCTTTTGCAGTCAATACCTTCTCCAAGCACTTCCCTGTACTTTAAATTTCAATGTCTTCCTTTAAACAGGTTTTTCTGGCTGAAGTGATTTTTCTTGCTCGTTACAATATTTTCACCTGATATAGCGTTTTATAGCTCTTATCTTATAAAACTAATTCACTAAACATACATGTAATTGGAGCCGCTATTTTTGTTGTGCTCTTAGCTTTTAGTACAAGCCATTCAGAAGATGTAGACATGTGGTTTGATTTTCAGTTCTGATTGTCCAAACATTTATTCTCTACCTTTTCTTAGTGGCATCACATTGCATAGCCAGGCTGTGGGCAAGCAGAACAGCAACCCACATCCTTCAGCAGCTTATGCATAAAAAAGTTGCCACAAAACCGGGGCTATTGAAGTTACCATGTTCTCAATATCTACAACTATTTGGGCATTATAACATCTCACAAATCAGCTTCCTCTGCTCTGAGACTCACCATTTGTGCCTACCCAGACTACTATGGTTAACAAGCAAACTGGGTGCCTGGGATCTTTATGAATATGTGTAGGGCACTCTGCAACATCTTTCTGCCACTTCTGCTTATGGTGGAGGTTGTGGGAAACATTTGGAGCCCTGTCTCCCCAAATATATCACAAAACAACTTGTTGAGAGCCTGGAGTACTCGGTCTCTAGAACAGAGAAGCTGGTAGCTATAAGCGAGTCAGTTGGTATTGCATTAAAATTTGGAAAACAAACTGGTTCCCACAGAAGATTTCAGCTTTGTTGAATCAGCGTTACCAGAGGAAATCTGTTCTATCAGAAGATTTTCTGTCTGATCTTGTGAACAGAACAGTGAAAACAGCACATATTACAGGAGCAGATCTTGAAAAGGTCATTGACTAAATGTTCATTTTCTACCTTAGCATATTGAGGACTGAGAGAATATTTCAAGAGCAGAATGATGCCCAAGTGCTCAATTAACTATAGAAAGTTGCATTTATTTCTTTCCTCTGAATGTCCTGGCCTGAATGTCTGCTACTGATGCTGCTTACCTCAGACTGTCTTTTGGAAAATTCTCCCACATGTGGTTTATACAAGTTATAACAAATTTTAAAGATTTAAAAGTTCCCTCTTACTTTTTGCCTGTAGCACTTTAAAGCATTTGAATTACAATAGTTTAGGAAAATCATTTTATCCTTATTTATATGTATGCAATAGACTAAAATCAACACCTTCAAATACTTTCTGATTTTTCCAGAGGCATGTCTGACACTTTGCATGAGAAAATGCAGAGCTTCTGTAGTGGAATCACAGCCACAAAGGTAAAAAAAAAAAAAAGCTATATATATTTTTTTATCTAAATATATAGATATGTATAGATATTGATATTTTAAAAACACACTATGAATAAACAAGTAGAGTTCACTTTAAAGTGAAGTTAGAAATGTTGACATTTTAAAATTTCAAAATGGACAACAGTTGTTTCTTAAACAAATTGATACAACAGAAACAGGATCACTGTTTTGTCTGAAAGGAAAAAAAAAAAAAAGGAAAGAAAGTGGTCTGTTTTATTTGTGCTCTAATTGGCCTACATGCCTCCCAGCACACACAGATATGCAGGGAAGGAGAATTAGAAATAAAAGCATCCAGCAACATGTTTTTTGACAGCTGTATTTTATTGTAACGTAACATGAGTAAATACAAATAAAATAAGTATCGCTAGCAGTAGCAAAGAACAAAGAAACAAAAAGTGGAAAACAAGAGTGGCAAGATATCTCTCATACCTCCTCTGTGTCCCCTGTGTGTCCTTTGATAATAAGGCAGGTAGCACCCATGTATTGTGCTGCTGGCCATCACAATTCCTTGGCTATTTAATCTAATACCAAGAGGAAATCAGTAATTGAAGAACTCAAACACTAAAATGGCAAGCGATATGATTCTGTTTTCCCTAATGCATGACACAGTTTACACTCATCTCTTCATCTTTCTGTATGCAGTTATTGATAACAAATTAATGGGATGTGACACAGAAATGATTTTTTGCCATTCTGTATCGATCATTCTCTGCTATCTCAAAAGCAGTAAGTCATATGTAAACTTTTGTAACAGGACAAGATTAACATTTAATATTAACACAATAAATTATGCTAATTGCAAAAAAATATATAACTTTCATTTTAATTAATTAATTAAAATGAAAACTTCAAACCTTGAATCTCAGTTTAGATACTTAAGTAGTTACTTAAACTGTAGTTTCTGTGACAGGAGAGTTCCAAATGCTAGAAAAATACATTGTCTGGTACAGATTGCTTTCTAATGGCAGGACACAAAACCAGTAGTAGTTGCTGGAAGTCTTTTTGCTGACTCAAAGCATTTTGAATCAAGCCTTTAGTTACTTCGCTTTTGTTCCTTACCTTTATAAGAGTGCTGTATCATATCCTACAAAGCACTTCCAGAGCTCTCCCAGTCAGGCAAGAGCAGGGTATCAGGCAGACACTTGTAGCTGCTTACTGTAGATGTGGATTTTTTTCAGTTGCTTTACAAACAATGAAAACAATATTTGTTAATGTTTAGTTTGCTTTGTATTGTACTATGTCTGGGCTCTTGTGAGTCAAAATACCCCAAGTATGTGAAGAGTTGCATTTTGAGCCATAGCATGTCATGTTTCAGGAAAAGAGAGTGAGCAAAGTGGCATCAAAGCTGAACAGTCATAAGTGGTAAACACATGAAGTATGGGCTATTCTGAATGTAGGATAGAGGGAAGAGGAGCATAAACTTTGCAAATTCCTTGAAATAGATTTAGAAAATCATTCAGGAGCAGTTCTTTATGAAATCTCTCAAATAAAGTAATGTTCTGTCTTCTACACATAGTCACAAGCACACTTATCAAGGTCTGAATAAAGGATGCTCTTGTAGCCAGTATGGTAGCACCAATGTGAATGTAGTACAAAAATCTTGTGCTCTGCATTACTTTCAGTGCTATGTATGCTGCTATATTTTTTTTTTCTAAACTTATAAAAGGAAAAAAAAAAAAAAAGCAGTTTATAACGAAACCACAGTATAATTCCATGCTCTTTATCAAAAGTAAATAGCAATCTATGTCTGATATAATGCATGGCAGAAATTGTACAAGCAATGAGTCTAGAACAGGCTAGTCATAAACAAAGAGAAGAAGAGAAGTACCTCTTGCTGGTTTGCTCTTTAGGGAATGGCAGGGTGCACAGATGTTTTTTTTTTTTTCATAAATCTTTTCTGTTCATTTCTGTATTTTTTTTCCCCTGAGTTTTTCTGTAGATCTGAATACCTAGCCTATTCAGTAGCCTATTCAGGAGCTTATAGGCCTTAATGTCACTAATGGCTCTACATGGTGTTTATAACAAATATTGTTTACAAAAATAATATTTTCCTTATGATGGCTTGTAAATAGCAAACTTCTTCTCAGTAGACAAATATGTTGTATGCTGGCACTATTTATCATCCTTGACTCTATAAAAGCTGAGGAATGTTTCTGCGATTGCTGCATGTTTTTCAAAAAATTGTTAGTCCTTAACAGCTACATTTTTCTTGTTTGAAACTAAAACTGATATTTTAGGACATTGGTTTTGGCATGCAAAAACACCATTTTGAGAACAATTTAGATACTAATTTAGGGAACATTAATTTAAATGTTGGCCCTCTACAGGAATTCATGTAATAGCCCTCTTCAAATCAAGCTTTTTCATTTGTGTGTATGTACCTGAGCACGTGCTTTTTTGAAGTGCCCATATGGTGTGAGAAGCTTCACAGCCTGGAAAAGATAGGAGGTACAAGGTGAGTACCCTACAAGGACCACCATCCTTTTTAAGCAGAGCTGTTCTGAGTACTCTGATTATAAAGAAATGACTGGCAAACGCTTTTTGAGTACTATGCTGATGAAAAGGTGGGTGAATGCTATTGATTGCTTTTATAGCTTTTGAAACAGTAGTATTTGATGGTATTGTACATGTAGTGTTGCAACATTCACAGGCTTCAGATTGACTAAGACAGAGCTCAACGACTTTGTTGAGTATAAATAACCACCTTTTGAATTTTAGCATGCCTGTAGAGATGTTTGTATAACCCTAACACTTAAAATTGGGAACTAGCAGATACAGAAATAGCTTCTGATGTGAGATATGGATTACAGTCATATGGATATGAATTATAAATAGGTTTACTTCTCATCTTATTTTGAGACATTATAATGAGACATTAAAATAGTCTCATCTGTGTAAACTAGATAGTTTACAAATAGGAAAAAAGTGAAAATTATCTGAGCTGGCTGCTTACAATTGTAGTGGTAACCTGCTAATAATTAAAGACACTGATCTCTCTGGTAACAGCAACAAGATCCAAGGGAACACCATAGAGTTCTGTTAGGTGAGGTTCAGGCTGGATGTTAGGGAAATGTTCTTCACCAAGAGGGTGGTCGGGCACTGGAACAGGCTCCCGAGGGAAGTGGTTACGGCACCAAGCCTGATGGAGTTCAAGAAGGGTTTTGACATTGTTCTCAGACATATGGCTTGATTTTTAGATGGTCCTGTGGGAAGCCAGCAGTTGGACTCAAAGATCCTTGTGGGTTCCATCCAATTCAGAAAATTCTATGATTCTATGAAAGCCTCATCTAGCCAGGATGGAAATGAAATCCTCATTGAACCTAGGGGAAAAAAAGCTTTGTGGAGGAGTCTTAATTCTGAATCTTTTATGTTGAAATATAATTTCATATGCAGCACTCTATAAACTTTCATTGTAATTGTATTTATTTTAAAAATGTTCTAGGCTATTGATTTTGGTAACCTCTCTCTGAAAAGTTAAAATGTGGTTTTGTTAGATGGTAATTTTATATTTGTTTTTCTAAATAAATAAATAAATAATGTATTTCAATTTCTGTTTAGAAAAAATAACTTACAGCATAAAGAAATCATCAAAATTAAATCATTATATTATCAAAAACCACTAAGGGATGTAGAAACAGTGCATTGCATGTGTGACATAATCTTGCATCGACTGTTAATGAGTTCTTTAACAGAGCTCTTTTTAGCTTAAGCTGGTGTTTGCTGTTTTAATTTTTATTTTCTATTTTTAACATATATTATCCCTGAAATAAGTGAGAATTTCTGTAAGATGCAAAAGAATAAGTACTCAGGTGAAAAAAATAATGTTCCTGTGTTTGCCACTATCTAAAGAATGAACCAATTTATTTTATTAGTGCTACCCAACATCTCAAGAAAGAGAAAATTGAATATCACTTTACTCACATTCCTAAAACCAGCTTTCCTAATTGCCATAACATTGGCATGCTCACCAGAGTCACCACAAGCTCAAAGAACAAGCCTAGCAGATGCCTGCATAGGGAATTCAGAAAAGTATGTTAATTACTGCGCTTTTTTTCCAATAAGTCTATATGAATTTATTTCTAGATATAACAACTGCCCCAAATTTCAATGGATTTTATATAGCTGAAAAAATATTTAATAAATTTAGAAATTTCATATTTGAAATCTGAAAACTGTAGTAACCTACTTTAAGTGTTATCTCTTCTCAGTTCCATCAGCATGTTATTTATTCTTAAGGTCTTAACAAGAATAAGTTTTCATTTATGACAAAAGTTTAATGCAGTCCCTTTTAGGATCTTTGTTATCAGACTATGAAAGGAACAGAAAACCAAATTTAGTTTGCTTTTCTTGGAATGTGAAAGAAGTTGCAGAATTTTGAATCTAGATATAATCACTGGCCAAAATCCTAACCCCATTTACTGATTCTGTTTTAATGTTACAGTAGGTTTAGAGATACTTCTCACAACAAAGCTGATGTAGCAGCTCCTGCCTTAGGAATAGCGTGTTTTTGTGCTTTGATAAATAAAAAAGATAAAAGGAAGTGTTCAAATGTGTCTCTGAGTGGGGGGTAAGGAGTGCAATTCATACTTTATCAGTCATCTTCTGTGCTGTGCATTATTACAAAAGTGGTAGAGAAGGTAATTTGTCTTAGACTGAATTTCTAGTATTTTCATTTTATTTTCATATATTCCATGAAATATAGGTAACCCAGAGGCAGACTGTTATGATATGAACATGGTGGTGGAGTTCCTATGTTAAAGTAACATAATTTAAGTTTCTAGATGAAGTGTATTTTCACCAGAAATTTGTCCCTCTGGCCCAAGTACTCCACCAATTATGAGCAGTCGTCCCATTACATCAAATTCATTCTCAACCATTTCAGAGCTGTAAAGAAATGGTGTCAAATATCTTTTATTTGCAACCTTTCCATCTCTACAGGTTTCAGAATAAAAACTGTGCTCTGTTATTTAAGCGTTGTAGACAATGTGCATTACAAGTGAAAAGCAGGCAAATACTTTAATGAGATCTTTCTATTGTTTTAATGAGGTATGCAAGTCAGTCAGCTATACCACATATACAGAGCAAAACTTTTGGAATGCGTATAGCCCTAAATTGTTCAACTATCCCAATAACGATAGTTGACGTAGCAGTTCCACAGCCATGTTACTTCCAATACTGGTAGTGCCTCACAAAGGACTGCAGCTTTGATTTTTTCTTTTGTGAAACACAACCGGAATGTTAGCACAAAAACTTACATGTGACAAAAAGAAATGTCATGTTACGGTTAAGAAGGTAAAACTGATATCTAAATTCCAACGGAAACCTCCAGGGACAAATAGTTATCAAGCTGCTGATGTTATATGGGACCACAATTGCTTCATCATATCAACACTGATCAGTTCAACACTTTATGACATTGTTTATGGACACTTTATGAGGCAAAGAGGCTTCAGAAAGAGATTCACAGTTTTGCCATCATCTCAAATGTCAGGAAAGGGGGAATTAGAGAAATTCTTCAGCCTCTCTGGACAGCCTGGAACCTGGCCAAGTTCCATGTCTAAAAGCTGTTTATATAGATGCTAACCTCCTAAAATTGCTCATTAATGCCTGCATTTATGAGACGTTTGCCTTTTTCACATGGAATATGCAAAAAGCCCAGTTAGTGCTGCCTCGTTTTCAGGCCCAGAACTGCTCTGCTTTAAAAAGCTAGGCCCATCAATAGTCCAGAAGTTGGCCTGAGTGGGATGACTATCACTTGAGAAACTCTATCTAATATGTGTTTTCCACACAGGATGGACACACCAGAAGTAGCCACACAATCCTTGACACAGCACTGCTGGTACAGTCCTGCTAGGTGTGACTGGGGGGGGTTCATGATACGGTTTCAGGTCAGCACTGTAATATCTCCTTGGTTAGAAGGAATCCAGCAACCACTGATCATGGAGCAGGAACATTATTGTTCTTTTTAAATAAAAGAGAAGAAAGAAATGAGTGTAGACCTTCAATAAGCTCTGGGCAGAAATCAAAATGGGCAGAAGCATCTTGCTTTAGTTAGATGCAGGCATGGGTTCATAATTTCCCATTGGCTTGCTCTTGATTGCTTTCTCCTCACCAGCTGGGCCATTAGGATTATCCTCAGCAGGTGGCTAATTTCTTTCCATGCTGTCTATAGGAAGCCAGGTGGGCCTTTGTGTTTTCTGGATTAGGAGCAACTGACACGCTCTTGGTTTCATAGCTGTGAGCAGTGCTTCAAAGGTATAATTCTGCAGAAGGTAAGGGTGTTTTTGAAAAGGGAATCTGAAGAGGTTGGTGAAATAAATGCAAAGCAACCATTTGAATAACATGTGATGCTGCACATCTTTCAAAGACCTGTGGAGAACGCCAGTGTTGAGGTTATCAGTCTGCTGCTTCCACACGCTGAGAGTGTCTTTAAATTCCAGTGACAAAAAGTGAAATAGATACTGCAGCTTCTCTAAAGCTAGCACTTCTTTAAAAAATAAGAAGAAGGAAAAAAAAAAAAAAAAAAAAAGAGAGAGAGAGAATTATGAGATAGCTAATGTCTCATGTTCTGCATACTGTGTGATCAGACAGGTGTTTTGTGCAGAATCCTCAAGGAATGTCTGCATCAATATAAACAGGAAGGAGTTTCCAGTTCATGAATCACTAGATTGTCAGCAATCCATTACAATTTGTCACAGACATCATAGAGCAAAACTGAAGTACTGCCCTCAATTTTATACCCCTGTGACTGGAAAGAAAAAAAAAAAAAAAAAGGAAAATCCCAGGGATTTGTAATTTGGGTGACTCTAGATCCATGGCAATCTTATTATCTACCATTATTGCTGTGAACATTTTGGACGCTTTTTCTTAATGGACTTTGCAACGGGATTTAGTGATTAACCCTGTAACATTTTCCTAATAACTACTGTCTCCTGTCAGGGACAAAATATGATAGTTTTGAATATCAAGCAATTGCCTTATTCGTGGAGTAAATATAGGATAATGTCACTATACAGAAAGATTTATGAGTTAATCCCTGCATAGTTATAGATAAAGTAGCCCTTAGGCTGCTGTACACACTGCATATAGTGTCTACTATATCCACACTGTATATAGTAGATATAGTAGAGAGTTGGGCATTACTTTAGTAGTGACAGTATGAGTCAGGGGACACTTATGTGCCATGCACCTCTCATCATGCTCATGCAAAAATTCCATGAACACTCAGTAGATATTGGTGGTAAAAGTTGAGATAGCCAACATAATTACATATCCTTACTCCCTGTAGCTCACAAGAGCAGAAGACTTGCTGAATGCCCACGTGAGCCATAGAAAACAGCATTCTTCAACAGTGCTGAATATTGATGTAGAAAGAGTAGGTATTTTTCTATCTTGGCAGTTGTTCACTTGCCTGAGAATTTTATCAGCAGCAGAATTATTTGAACAAGTTTTGAGGCAGTTATACTTGACTTTCATTTATTGTTAAATATGTGGCTATTTTAAAGTTCTTTTTGGTTTAGTATTCTTTTATTCCCTTCCAAAAGCCTCTAGCTTCAGTCTGGTGTTAGTAATTTGGTAAACTTCCCCTTACTTTAATGATAACACTTTTGTAATCATTTTGTATGGGTTGTTAGTACTATGAGCTAAATATATATGCTTCTTTCAAATGAGGTCTAATTCCTGAATAAATTGTATATAGTGAATTTCAGTGCTGATCTTGGACCTTATTTGCTTTGGTGTAGTAGAATTTTTCTTTTTACTGTTCCAGCTGTCACCACTTTGCAGGCATCGTTCAACGCAGACAGTGTGAGCAAAAACTATTTCTATCATTTTTGCAGAAAATATTTTTGACTTTGTGAAATTCTAAAATTTCATTTCATTACTTTGAAAGCTAAGATTTAGCATAGTGAACATCAGGCAATCTGTAGTACTTAATCTACCAGCTCAGCAGAACACCAAATTAATTCAAATTTGAAAAGGACTCTCCATCTGTAGCAAAAGCATGTTCTCAATTACATATTGAATTAAATAAGAGATAGGAATATTTCTGAAAGCTTGAAATTTATGGTTTCATTAGACTGAAAAATTAAACCTAAAAATGTGTGAAAATCCCCATTAATCATTTAGTTTTAGCACATAAATGCAAATGGCTTGGAACCTAGTTTCGTTTCAGACTGTAAGTAGTAATTACCCAGTGATACCTCATGAGCTTCATTAGAACCCTGCTTTTAATAAAAGTGGGGAACACTAGGGATCTGCACAAATAAGAGGATTATGGTATTTAATCAGCACGAAGTGGTAATGATAAAACTTCATTAGATTGCATTTCCAAACATGAAATCAAGAAAGATGATATAAGTGGGTTAAAAGTTCATTTTAAAGTTTTTTATTTGACGAATTTTCTTTTCTTCTGTTCATGAACTCTTTGATTTGTATGAATTAGTTTTGATTCTTGAAAAAATCGTATTCAATAGTTAGTAGATGGACAATTCTTTCTGCCAAACTGTTTGTTCTTATACAATAACAGTCTAGAATTATTTTTAATTATTATTTATAATTTTCATTAGAATTTTAGTATTAATTGTCCACAATTTGGAATATTTAATGACTGCTTTCATCAAAAAGTTGTTTCTGGTCCATTGCTGACCTATGGATTGTCCATAAGACGTAAGTTCATGTACAACCATATATACATGAGAATATTCAGCATAAAGATCCAGAAATATCTTTCTTTGTACAGCCTTATGAACTATAACTATATACAGAATTTCATATAACAAAAGAGTAGCAAATATAATTTATGGAAGGGAGATGGATTTTTCTTAATCTTTGATTACCATCCTAAGAGTTAGCTGGGCAAATATAACTTTTAACATCTGGATTTTAATTTCCCTTTTTCATATGTTCAAGAAAAGATATAAAATTTCAGATGAAACATTTATCCTATAATATCATATTGACTTTGTTGTTGTTTAGCATGTATTCATATTATCGTAGCGTATATGTGAGAACATTATGGGAGGAAAACACAGTGACACAAATACCCACAGAACATCATAATTTACCTTACAGATTTAATCTGCTATTGAAAGCCCAAATAGAAGAAAATATTTCTCAAATGTAATGACTTAAATAGAGTAGTAGAGTACTGATACACTTATACAGGGGAATTCTATCTTCTTTGAAGTATGTGCTTCTAACTTATTCAGCTATTTCATGGGGTTGCTGCAACTTGTAGACAATGATTCTCTCTTACTATATGTCTGTATTTAAAATAATAGCAAAGAAAACTGAGAGGTAATGCTTTAATTATTTTTCACATTGGTTCTCATGCAGCCTATTTTAGATTTTATTTCAATATAGGAATAACAACTATTAATCTGGGAGGAAATATTGGTGTATGGCGGTGGAAAAAAGTAATACAGAAGTCTCCCTTTATAGGCATTTTACATTGATTTGTATTAGTTTATACATTTGATAGTATCAGATGCACTATTCAGAATATCATGATCTACTGTGAGTTTTTACTTAACGTATCATTAAGGTAGAACAAATGTACATTTGGTATTCCTAAAAGTCATCAAAGCATTAACCCTTTATTTTTCATTCTTTGTTTTATGCCCTCATCATGTTCTTGTAATTTCTCTTTTCATTTATAATCTAAAACTTTAATAGTGTCTCATTCCATTGCTTTGACTCTTGGCCTTACCTCATCTTGTTATATCCTCACCACGGCAGCTTGTGACCCTGTGAAGTGTATACGTAGACCAAGTACTACCTTTCTAGACTTCTCTTCCTATTCATACACAGTTCAAATACTGAACACTAAATATTCAGTTCTTTTTAGCTAGTCATGAAGAACTCGCTGTACAAATTGGAAGGTTAACTAAAAAGGGTGCTTAAACAGTTTGGGTTTCTATGCCCAACTGCGTAAATAGCCTATATAAGATGCACTTCAAAAGATGCATGTGACTTTCGCACTTCTGCAGTTGCAGTTTGGATTGCCCCAGATATCCAGTCATATGACATTCATCCTACTCATCTCTGTATGAGATTGATACTTAAGGAATGAGTTAGAAGAAAAAGATTTTGATATGACTTCTTTCAAGCACAGAAGCTTTATAATTCAGGATTCCTACATAATAATGAAAGTCAAACATGACTCTTGGGGATTTTTTTTTTCCTGGTTGGGTAGCGGGAATTTTGTATGATTTCATATAATTTTCTCATTAAAAGCCATAATAATGAGTCATTCTGTCATTGCATCCCAATATGTAATCTAGATGTTTGCATCATTGCTGTTAACAGCAATGATGTTTATAACTCCAATGATTTTTAAGTTCTTCATTGATTCCTCTTTTGTACCAAGATTTTAACTGGTTTTGGTGTTCTGAAATTCCTGTTTTTTCTCTTACATAGCATAAGAATACTTTGACTGTTGATCTTAATCAATGTAATCAATTTCAAACTTACTACTTCACCCAGCACTCATTGCACCATGCAGTTACAGCCTTAACAAAGCATTAGTGCTGCTGTTTTTCTCATTAAATTTTCCTAAAGGACATTTTAGAACCCATATATTTTCTACATCACTGTTGGTGCTTCATTACAATAAAAAAGCACCTTTACTCTGCTATAGTTTTTCTTTCTAACTCACTCTGTAGGGGTTCTTGTCAACATTTTTTTTTTCCCAAAAAACATCAGATACCTTTCTGTCCTATTAAATTTATGCACAAATTTCTCAGAATGATGTTAAATGTAGCTATTAAATTCTTCATACCTGGGACTGAAAAAAAGTCATATTAAGGTCAAACATGCTTAGATCTGTGTTGTCTCATCCAATGACCTCAGAGGGTAAGATATTTAAATATAATACAATAGCAAATAGATATCAGAACTTCTGGAACAAGGAGAGTGCATGCATATAATTTTTCAAATGTTTCAATCATTTATAAAATCTCCAAGTTCAGATGATATATATATCATATATATGTACGTATATAAATATGTTGGTCTCAAATTAATTTTGGTTACCTTGAAACCTTATCTGATTTAATCAAATGCTCGCAACAAGCAGCCCTTACACTGATAGCAAGTTGGAAGTCTCATTCTGGCACAAAATGATTCCCATGTCTTTATTTTTGTGATATTACTTGGGGTTGTAGAACAATTCAAGAACGTTTATTGCAGTAGGGCTGTCCCTGAAATTTCAACTTGTCCATCATAAGAATTTTTGCTGCCTAAGAAGCAGTGCCTCCAGGCTGCTCAAACA